CAATTTACTATAAACTTTGCTTGAGTATTTCCAAACCTCAAAAATTAACTTTAATTTAAATTAAATATAAAATATAAATTAATTTAAAGTTTATTAATTTATATAAAAATAAATACAGTCTATACATTAATTTGTTATATTACAATTTTTTCGCCTTATACAATTTAAAAATATTGTTTGACCAGGTTTAATATCAGGTCCACTGATGCTGTTATCTCCCAACTCAACCATATCTACGTATTTATTGTGGAAATGCATTGAATGCGTGTATTGTATGGCCGATAAGCAAGGCAATGTGAGGTACTCGGACCAAATCATACAAACATTATACTCCCTGTCCTGCGCCCAGTTATTCTACGCTACAATTTTGAATCCAAAAATATTGCGAAAATCGTATTTAAAGTTCATTAACAAAGTGACGGAAAACCGTCTCTCAGAAGTGAATCGCCTGGTGTTGGATGTGTTTGGGACGGGAGCCTCCAGTGGTTACGAACACTTTGTGCCTCATCTGGACATCAACTTTGTGTCCAAACACTTCCAGGAGACTATACTTATCTGGCTTATCTAGATAATTCATAGTGTTTAGTTTAATAAACTTTCTATAATAATTTATTGAAATCTATTAATGAAAGTTTTTAGTTCTGATTTTAAATGTTATTTTAATTATACAAATAAATTAGAAATTATAGTTAAAAAATTACACAAGATTTTTGTAAATATAATATTAAGTTTTATGTTTTAAACAATAATGAAATTTCTTTTATATAAATTTAATTATATTATAGCTTTCATTGTGTCTAAATTATTTATAAATTTATTAAGTATTAATAAAAATAAATTCATTAAAAATAAATAAATAATTTATGAATTCACAAAATACATAAAAACAGCATAAATATGATTTTGTAAAGTTTATATAAATTATCAATATTGATCAATATATTTTATAATAGTATACGTACAGTACTTATCGAAACAGATTTTCATACCAATACTCGGGTTGCACCTGTCGGTAGCACCGGGGACTCTGCCGGTGCACGCATTGACACGTCTTGGTGTCCCTGACTAGCGGTGGTTTGCAGTCACAGTTACCCGGCTCTACAAACTTGGCCACACAGTAAGGGTTGGGGCGCTTACATGTGCGCTCACAACCGCGCGTAGAGTATGGATACCAGATCTCGTTGGACGGACACCAAATGCCCGTCCGATTACATTGTTTTTCATAAACACACTTACCGGTAGACGCTTGCCTCACATATCCCGGACTACAGTCCCAGTTACCCGGCTGTTTGCATTCCTCTGTACATGTAGGGTTAGGCTGTTTACACGTGCGCTGACAGTCTTTGGTACTGCACTCGTAGTATTGTTCGTAGTTATGTTTTAATATGCAATAACCTGACCATTTTAATGTGATTTAGACTGTGAAGTTTAAAATTTATGTGTGCTAATTAACTTACCTGGGCACTCTCCCAAGGGAACGCACTTTCCGCCCAACTTATCTAAAATATATCCCTGCTTACATACACCGTAACACTGAACGGTGCAATTGCTGGGAGTGGGACAGGAAACAGGATCGGGATTTTGGCACGTGGCTGGACAGGGAGGCGGACAACCGCACTTTGAACCGGCCGGGCATAGAATGGCCGCACACTCTATCAAACAAATAGTAGTATAATATAGATTTATGTGTTAGTTTGGAAAACAGTTACTCATTTTTAACACTCAATACCTGGTGGCAGAGTAGGAGCTGGTGTTGTGGTCTTTGGGCCTGGGTGTTAATAATTTAATCAATGGGATATTAGAGTATTTTTGTGTAGCACATCATTACAACTGACCTGGACAACTTGAGATTGGAATGCATTTATAATGCTTATCGTATACATAGCCCTCATCACAAATGCAGCCCACCTTACAGTGATTGTCTGGATAGCATTGTGAGGCTCGTTTGTACATATTTTTGCAAGTACCAACGCATTTTGCTTTCCACAAACAGTCACATCTATAGCCCTTTTGGCATTTAATTGTTTCACAACCTTTTTTGCAGTAATTTTAGAGAAAATTAAAATTGGTATCAATTTGACAAATGAAACATACAAACCTGGTGGTGAATTGGGTCTTGTTGGTGTTGTCAATGGGTTCTCAGTCTGTGAGGTCCCGGTGCTATTAGGGTGTGCGTTGATCTGAATTAAAGTTGTCAAAAATATTATGTGCAAATACATTTTATACTTTGATGTTATAATTTCAATGGTTAGACAATATATAAAATAAGACTTAACAACGTTCTAAGCTTTTATTTTAAAATCTCATTTTAAACAACTGTTTAAATTTTGTATTTTTATTATATAATTGAAAACAAAATTAAATATGTGTAGACATTTAAAACACATTTTTATCGATTATACGTGAAGTTTATCTACAAATTGACTGTGATTTTAATGTTAAGAATTAGTTTTGCCACACATTTATCATGAAATATAATGATTTGTTTGATTTGATTTTCATGTTTCAGTAATTTGCAAAGTAAAACATTTCCTAACGATCATAATTTTAAGTAAACCTTTTAGGTTTTATTTCAATAATTTATTTCTATTTTAATAGAAAGGTTGTAAAGTATTGATAATTTAACAAATAAGCAAATTGTAAATATAATTATTGTATACATTTTTCATTAAATCGTTTAGAATATAAAAATATTAAATACTGTATTGCAGATGAACTATAAATGTTTATTAGGCAGTTACTTAAAATGTTTTATACATAAGAAATAGAAAATTAAAAATTGATTTATCCATTTGTAATGATTTCTGATTATCAGATTTTGAATAATAATAGTACTTTCAACTAAATAGGGTAAAATTTAATGTTTAATAGTACTGTATAATATATTATAATATTGTCTTTTATATAATCATATAATTGATTAATTGAATGAATGTTTGCCATAATTCCATAATTTTAGCATAAGATGCCTAAAACACATTCACATGGTTTATATGCATTCAACGTTTTCCATGTCTGCCACGACTTCCACCGCCATTATGCTCTCCGCCACCACCGTGGCCTCCTTGACTCCCACCCCCTCCGTTCTCTCCTTCTCCTTCACTACTACCCCCACTCCCACTACTGCTGCCCTTATGGCTTCTGCTCGACCCACTGCCACGACTTTTCCTTTCGGCTGAAAATGATCGCATGAATTAATTATGAACATATAAATCTAAGTTTTATAAATTTCATATTCCTTAATATTAAACTTATTTGCCATCATAATAAGATAAGGTATATTTTATAAAATAATGACAA